TTTGACTCTGGATTGTACAATGCTCACGATGTGCTTACTTATACAATAACACAATTTCCGGTAGTCTTGTGCTTTCTTGTCCCTCTCCTCTCTCCTCCTATCACTTCCTGCAGGTGTTTCTGGCTCTGGAGCTGTGGAGTCTCTGCAGTTGTGGGTCACCTGCAGCCCCCGTGTTCCTGCTCGACACCCTCTGCTACAATTATTATTACTAGTCCTATTATCATTATTATCATCAGTAACATTAAGATTATTATCATAAATACGCTGGACTATTTGTGTCCCTCACCCCCAACCGGTCAAGGCAGATGGCCGTACACCCTGAGCCATGGTTCTGCTCGAGGTTTCTGCCTCTTTAAAGGAAGTTTTTTCCTTGCCTCTGTCACCTAGTGCTTGCTCTTGGTGGGAATTGTTGGATTTCTGTAATAATATCAGAGTACGGTCCAGGCCTGCTCTTTTATGAAAAGTGCTATGAAATACTGTTGTTGTGATTTTGCGCTATTTAAATACAATAAAACTTAATGTATGCATAATAGAGAATTAGCCTACAATAAGAACACTGAAGAAATTGCAAATTTTCTTCACAATTAACTCTGAGTAGGTTGAACTTCCTTTGTAGTACAGGCCACAGGTTAGCTGTTCAGCATATGTTACCATGGCAATCTACCCTGGTTAGACATGAACCACCGCTGGGGTACTAAAAACCCAGGGTTAACCCGAATCCTGCTTCGTGGTACTGGTATGAGTATGAATGGGTTTTGTTTATTTTCTTGTCTTTTGGATGATTGCTGTGTGCCTGGTGTGTTTTGGTTTTGTCTGTCCCTTTGTGTTTTCTCTGCATGTTGTCATGAAGCTGGTGGGCTCAGTCTCTGGCACTCCCACACCTGAGGCTGATCTCCACTCACACACCTGCCCTGCATCACTGCCAATCGCCAGCACTACTCAATCTAACTTAAATACTCTGTGTTCAAGGAAACCTTTGGTAGGGCCTGCATTCTGGTTGATACAGCTGGCAAACATTCACAGAAATGTCTGTCAGAGGGCTTTACTGAGGAAAAGACAATGTTTTTTTTTCTCCCTGCAGTAAAGTGATTCCAGCAGGACCAAAACAAAAAAGGCATACAGAGATCAAAGGTCCCCACAACCAAAGAGCAAAGACGTGCTTTGCTTTCTATTCTTTCAAATACAAAGTGTACAAAATGTAGAGGAGGGGCTGTTCCACAGAAGGTCACACATACTGTAGGTCATTAGTTCATTGCTAGAATCATCATTCTGCAGTTTCCTCATTTTAACTGCAGGTTCCTGTTTCGCTGAAGGGCCTGTCCCTTAGCCTCCCATTTCAAGTAACACACAGGTGACATACAGAGGAAAAAAATCCCTATCAGGCACTTTGAACAGCTGTCTGAGCCAGTTTTTCTCAACAACTGAACATTTAATCAAACATTTGAAAAAGACAGTTCTACAGACATGTAATGCAATAAGCAGGACAATTAGGTAGGTTTCTTGAAAATGAATGATTAGGTTAAGGCACAACATTTAAACGAAAACTGTTGAACTTTAGAGCAATATCCATACCACACACCCATGCAATTACTTTAATGTGGCTATTATGTAGATTTGTTTTCATGTGTAGTTAAGGTTAGGTCTTCAACTTTTACCTCCATTGGGTGTGATTCCAACCATTGGTTCACATGGAATGACCCAACTAGATATGAAGCATTAAGATATTTTTGAGGAAAGAAAATATTATAGGAAAACAGTAAATGGTGAGTAAAAAGTATATTTTACTTTCAATGTACTGAAGTAAGAGTAATCTAAGAGAAATCTATTTTCTAAACCATTCACTGTTTTATAAACTAAAAGCAATATTTTAAAATCAATTCTCTGACCGACAGGGAGCCATTGTAAAGACTTCAGAACAGTAGAGATGTTATCCACTTTTTTGGTCTTAGCGAGGACTCGAGCAGCTGCATTTTTAGGGAGCCCTGTAAAGACACTGTTACAGTAGCTGAGACAGCTGAAGTCGACTGGGGGAATTGTTGGGTCTCTGTAAACAACAACTAACTGTTGTTGTGAATTGGTGCTATATTAATAACATTTAATTGAATTGAAGATAAATGCATGGACAAGTTTTTCCAGGTCCTGCTGAGACATAAGTCCTTTAAACGTCCATGACTACACCAAGATTTCTGGCTTGGTTTGTGGTTCTTAACATTACAGATTGAAGCTGAGCACTGACTTTCAATCGGTCTTCCTTGGCTCCAAAAACAATAACTTCAGTTTTATCTTTGTTTAAGTGAAGAAAATTCTGGCACATCCAGGTTACTCAGTACTTTCATGGGATCATAGTCCCCTGGTGAAATGGTTGTGAAGATTTGTGTGTCCCTGGAGATTCGAGGTGTTGCAGGATGTGATGCAGTCCCAAGTTGACTGCATCATTCACTGACCTGTTAGCCCTGTAGGCAAATGGCAGGGGGTCCAGCAAGGGGCCTGTGAGCTGCTGATTGGATGAAGAGAATAGAGGCGGGGCTCAGAGAGGGTGAAACAGAGCGGATCAAATCCCAGACACAGTTTGGATGGCAGGAATGCTCTTAACAAAGATCCGTTCACTTGGTGAATTCTTCCACCTTAATGTAATCTTGCTACCTTCAGATCCACCAGGTTGCATCCAGTTCTCATTTTCCTAAACCCCGTTTGTCTCTGAGCCCCTGCTCTGTGTCTACAGCAGCTCATGCACGTCCGCAAAATGGTGTCAAATGGATGTCTGATTCACGGATCCAACTTAATTGTAGTTACGTACTGTAACTCCAGATTCTATGAGTATCGGTGCTGCCCTCTGAGGCTATCGCCACTGGGCCTCTCCTACGTCCGCACCATGGTGAGACCTACACAACTTAGAGGGATGTGCCTATACTCAGAATTTGGAGTTACAGTACGTAACTACCGTTCTACTTATGGTACCACCAAGCACAGACCCACCTGCCCAGAGCCATCATAATGCTTTTTAGATTGCCTTTCTTTGTTTGCTGACTCAGTGAGCTACGTACAAAATTTCCATTGTACTAACAAATCTAATCAAATATCTTCTCCCCTTCTCCAACTGTTCCTCCTTCTTTCCCCTGACCTTCTGTTAAGTTTTTTAACTTTATTTTTGGGAACTCACAAAGTGGTTCACAAAAAATTTAACATCCAGTCCCAAAATCTAGATTGGTACGGCAGAAAAGCTCAGTGCTGCAGTCTTCATCAGTGACACTCTGTGACTCCAGGGTCCCATCCCTTCCCCCTTTCTACCCAGCCCCTCCCTTCAACCACGCTTCCTACTTCTCTCCCCTTGCCTTCTGATTCATCAATGTTTCTTCATAACTTTACACAGTATGACTGGTTTGATGGCACAGTAATCAGGGTTTGGTGGTGTCATGTCACTCTGACTGATTGACCCTTATTGCTCCTGGGCGGAGCTTTGGATCTTTTGCAGCATACTTTGCTAATATTGCGTAGTGACAATCATTGATTCTAACCACCTGACAATCATTTCAAACAACTGTCAGTTTAATGCAATTCACCGCCATGCAGGTACTCGTGTGAATGAACAACTTTCAACACATTTTCAAAATGAAACGTGCTTCTGCATGTACCGGGTCATTTCAAGTTGAGAGTTGGGAAAGTTTGAAAGTTGTTCTGAAAACACAAATTCTGGTCAATATTTCTAAAAGCAGGTTGGTGATTAACTGTCCTGGGTTGCAGCAGCAGCAGCACAGAGTCCCAGTGCACAGGGTGCGAGCAGCTCAGTCACTCTGTCCGCTTCATAACGCTCTGGGTCGTGGAGAGGTCACTTGTCAGCACGGAAACGAACCCAGAGCTAGACAGCTGCTGACAGGCTGGACGTTAGTGATTTATCTGCCCTCTGCCACTCCGTTTACTGTAAAGGAGGGCGTGGACTAACGGGAACTGTCATTCCGATCATGCATTAAAGTAATATGATATGTTTGGTCCTCTGTCCAAGCAGCAGGTGGAACATCACTCCACATTACTCAGCATGCCAGTATTCAGAGTGAGCACCAGAGAAGAGAGAAGGTGTGCACTGGTTACAGCTTCAGGGCTCCTCAGCGACTACTGAACTGTCCCAAGCAATAATTTTGTTATTGAAATATAACTACGTTGTCAGTCAATGCATTTGCTACACAGACGTTAACAGTCAGGGCGGACCCCTACCTACCTGGTTGACAACATATTTCTGTGGTTTTTACATGGTGTGAATTTGGTTGTGGCCCCTTGGGGATTTATAGAAAGATGATAGAGAAAGATCAAGAGGTGAATTTGTGCATTATACTTTGTCTATTAAAGCAAGTGCTTTTGGAATTTATCGGAATATTGATGGACAGAAATAGTGTTTTGAAGAAAACTCCCAATAAAAGTGAACATATAAACCAAAACATGGACATTCGCCTGCTATATTTTTTAAAAATTGTGTAATAATTGTTGTATATTCATTTCTTACCGTCAAATTTACAGTTACAGTTGTATTCCAGGTGAATTAGAAGATATTCAGTTGCATTATGATCAGTTGGATGATGGTTTTGATGCGGATATTGCAATTAAAATAAAGATTTTATATCAGGCGAGGATGCAAATATCATATTTTCCTTTTATTGCATCTCTGTTTGCTCTTTAATAGCAACATGCATAGGTTCATATTCATTATCTTCTGTCCTATCAAAGGAGACTAGAATTATACTTCTTGGCATAATGGTTGAGGAGTTATTCCTGATTCATTTTGGGAGCTATTTTAGGCATTTTTCCTGGACACAGGTGTCTGTTTCCAGGAGATTAGTGGTGTGCTATTTAAACGCCATCGCATGATATCATGTTCACCTTGGCACTGCAAAAGGCTCAAAACACACTTCTGAGGGTGATGATGCAGTCGCTGTTCATCACCAGCATGGTTGCGTGGACTCTCTGGGTGGAGTCACCACAATATAAAGGAGCAGGTCTCTGTTTCTACAGACAGACTTGGAGGAGACACCAGAGAGCCGCTGACCTGACGACTTTCACAGGAACAGGGTGGTGAGTCTGACTTTTTACATGTTTGAAAAGTTTTCATATCAGAGTAATGTTTGATTTCAATGACAAAGGAAATGGTTTGAAATAAATTTAAGGCTGGTGAACTGTCTTGGGCCCCCTAAGTAAGAGGATCCCTTATATGTATAGAACCAATGGTGAGCTGTGGTTCATCATGATCGATCTCTTTTCATTTGAACAAGTTCTTTATTAATTGCAACAAGCAGCGACTCACTTTACAGCAGAATACCTGACTCACAGATGTAAAATTTGCACTTTGACAGATAATTCTATAAATTAACAAATTTTTACTGTAAGTTAAAAGACAGCAGCTGTTTAAATAGGGAAATTAAAAGGTATTTATGTAGAATTCTCTTGCAACTTTTCACATTTTCTAAAAATGAGACATTTTTACAAAAGTTTGGCTGTAAAATTACAGCAGGAATCATTTAATGGTATTTTATTGTAGAACAACATTTTATACGCAATCAGCAGGTTCAGTTTTCTCTTCTGGCCTTTCTGTGTTAAAGGGGAGCTGAGCAGGATGCATTGCATGTTTGAATGCATGCAGGCAACAGGTCTGTTTATTGTCAGCTACTGGTTTGAGGAAAGGAAAAGTGAAAGAGAAGGAGGAGAGAAGGAATGTAGAAGATAGAGAGGGAGGTAGAAGAGGAGAGAAGGCAAAGGAGAGAGGAGGCGTGTAGTCAAACTGTTTTCTTCTTTTGAATCATCCAAATGTCTGGATGAAACATGGCTGCCTCACAAAGTTTCATTGTTGGAGTAATTTGAAGAAACAAAAAGCCGTCTTTGAGGTCAGACTCAGAGAAATGGTTGCCTTGACTTCTATTGACCAGCAGATGTAACTGAAACTCTGACGTTATTTGGAACCAATTGATTCAAATTGTGTGAGAAACGGTATTTTAGTAGCTACTTGTTTGGGGCACCGCCTTTTAATAATAGGGAAAATTTTTGAATTAATTCAAACTAGATTTTTCATATTAATTATTTTGATAGATTGACCTCTTCTGCTTCAAAGAAAACACAGAAACTGATTCCTACTGATTACACTAGGGTATTTAATTATTGCTAAATACCTAATAAATATATTAATGAACAAAGAAACACGAGATGAATAGCAGATGTAATGAAATACACCTGATCTAAGTGGCACATTTACAGTACAGTGCAGGCGTTTGCTTCAGTCAACTAAAATTTTACAAAGCTTACAATGTTGTTCAAACACAGAGCCTCACAATGCTGAGCCAGAACACTATTATGTAGCTGCAGTACCGGAGGCTGCAGTTTCAGGACCCCCACAATCCTGGGACCGCAGGTCATTTGCGACAGCACCATCTAGTGGAGCGGTGGTGGTAATACACAGCAACATGAAGGAGGTTAACCCTGTCTGCTAGCTGTAGGGTTAACCGTTCGACATGCATATAATCATTAACTTAAGTTTAGACACACTTGGTGGTGGCTATAGCCTATCATTAAAATAATTAGAATAAAAACTATTCATAACACAATCAACTTCAATGAAGTCTTTAGGACCTGTGGTGTAATATTTTAAATATCTTAATGTTTTAAGCTATATGATGAAGTTATTATATAGTGCAGTCTAAGCCACTTTTGTTTAAACCCCTTTACTGGCCACTCCTTTTATATATGCATTTAGAAACACTAGAAATACACACATGAGTGCTAATATTTTATAAAAGCTATGGTTTAAAAGTGCATCATGAGTCTTTGCTCCAAGCAGCAAATGATTTCAATCTTTGAGTATTTTTTTTTTACGTGAATAGATAAGAACTCAGGCGTTGTGCACTTATCACAAGGCATGTGTATGAGTACAGAAAGTATAAACAAATGAAAATGTGTGTCAGAAGACCACTTTGGGGAAATCCCTGGAAGATGTCCATTTAGGAGCAATTATTGCAAAGAATGATGGGTTTTAGGCAATAAGTGATTGATTTAGCATAATTATGTAATCTGCAAATGTTTTGATCTTTGCAATCTGTCCTTTTGATTTGCAAAGCTTTAATAGTGTTCATTTATGCATGCTTGTAAATCTGGTAACTAGATAGACAGCTAAAGTTGGGCTCACAGTGTTAAAGCTTTGTGGCTCTGTGTGTCTTCCTGCCTGGACTCAACAGAAGGACCTGTGTGTGTGTGTGTGTGTGTGTGTGAGAGAGAGACAAAGGAGGGGGAGAGACTAAGAGAGGGGGGTGGATCTGAACACCCACGTGGTCGGATCTGGTTCAGAATCGGGCTGAGGCCAGCTGATTGTGGAATCAAAATGGCAGTTCAAACCATGTGATTTCAAAATCAAGATGGTGGAAAATCTCTCGCCTCTGAACTACAAAAAATTGGAGACCTGTGATGCTAGCCCGCTGTGGGTCACAGGTCTGGTTAGCTTCAGAGATCATGTGGTGTGTGCATGTGGGGTTAGTAAGCAGAAGGAGGAGGCACAAGGAAAACTATATACAATAAAGCAGTCTATCCTACAGCCACCAGCAGTAAATGATTCGTTCAGCAGCGGTTGCGGCAGCAACAGTAAGTGAACAGACAGTGAAGTCGACGTAGGTTGAGAAGGTAGAACACGGAGGTGCTTCTCTCAGCTAAGCATGGAGTTTATCCGTCTTCTTCTGCAGGCACGAAACATTATCTTGTGTATAACGGTTTCCTTAGGGATCCAAAATTGTGTTGGTAACACAAAGAAAAATAATAGAGGTAAAACAAAAGAAGAAAACAGAGTTGCTCGTCCAGCAAGTGAAGTCTGTATTCAGGAACAAAGAAAGTTCAGTGCTGAGGAAGTTGTCTCCTATCACCGCTCGCGCAGCTGTGGAAAGACGGGGTTTGGTTTACCTCTTTACAGTCCTGTGAAGGACTGGGAATGCGACGAGGGTTCGGAGGTGTTCGGTTTTATACCTCCGTTGACAAAATGGCTGTACTTCCTGGGATTACTCCGGCCCCTGAAAGCTTTAGCCAATACAAACCTTTGGTTTGGTTTTAAAAGTTAAGAGTTTACAGGTAGGTGTGAATTAACTGACCAGGGCGGGCAACATGTAAGATTACAAGCGCAGCCACTAGTGGCTCTGCTTTTAGGTCAGAGTCACTATTTCGCACCTTGGTGTGAAACAGGCTTTGGCACCTGTTTTACAGTCTTTGTCTGAGATGACTCCAACAGGCCGAGGACATCACAAGGCCCAGTCTTTGTTCTCTAGCTTGTCTTCTGTCTACGGACTTGCATGACAGGCTCCACAGTGGACCTGAAGGCCCAACACTGGGTAGATGTCCAATTCGAATCTGATCCAAACCTTACCCAATATCCTAGTGATTATTTCAGATAAACCTAGCAACCCTTCACCTCCTAAAGAAAAAATAAAGATGACATTGCATGACACTAATCAGTGCAGATGTGTAAAAAAAAAGGTGTGAGGATCAGTGCAGTGTGCAAAAAGACAGAATTAATAAAAAACAATCATGGCCACTAGATGATGTTGTTACTGCTATGATGTGAAAAAACTGATTAAAAAAGGCACAGTTTAATTTCATTTAAAAGAGGCCAAGGACACTCCTCTTGGTCTTCAGGATTCTGAAAAAGTTTAATGATACAACATGTAAGGAGTGCTGTACATTCATTCAGTGCAAAACACGAATTCTGAAGCATAATTATTGAAGCAACAAAACAAAAATTGACATTTCTGAAATATGAGTTAAAACACTGTTCAGCTTCTGGAAAACTAAGCTGTCTAAACATTTCAGAATGATTCTGAAAGCTTCCTTTGCCACATTTTGACTGTAGATTCTGAATCAGCATGATGAATTCATGAACCCATGGTTTGATGAGTTTAAGTCATGTATTTTAGATCTATAATAGGGCTGTCAAACGATTATTTTTTTCTTGATCGCTTCTATTAAGTCTGTATTAACAATGATAACACTTATTACCAGTGTATCTTGATTGGAAGTCAAATTAATGCAAAAAAAGTCAGTTTATGATCTTTAATATTTATTTGGTTATTTCAACGAGACTGAGGTAAAACAATCAATGTCTTCCTTAAGCTTGCTTTCAAAAATTATACAGCAAAAAAAAAAAGCATGTAAAAAATGTACACACATTATTATAAAGTGCATATCAAACAAAATACTCCATAGCTAATACCTATACCTAAACCACAGTTAGCAGTGCCTATCACGCCGTCACACACGCTCCACTGGGACACTCTGATCACGTGATGGTCCATCTGATTCCTGCTTACATGCAAAAACTAAAGCTCTGTAAACCTGTAGTGAGGACATCAAAGAAGTGGACTAGTGAAGCTGTTGAGGACCTCCAGGCATGTTTGGACTGCACTGACTGGGATGTTTTCAAGAAGGCTACCAACAACCTGGATGAGTTTACAGAGGCTGTGACGTCCTACATCAGCTTCTGTGAGGACTCATGTATACCGACACGCACCAGGGTGAGTTATAACAATGACAAACATTGGTTCACAGCTAAGCTTAGACAGCTAAGGTTGGCAAAGGAGGAGGCATTTAGGAGTGGTGACAGGTCCGGGTGCGGGGCGTTAAAGTACAGGTTTAGCAGGGAGGTGCGAGAAGCTAAACGACTGTACTCAGACTTAAGAACCAGTTCTTTGCAAACGACGCCACTTCTGTCTGGTGGGGGGGGTTCAGACAGATCACAAACTATAAACTCAAAGTCCTCCACTCCATAAACGATTCTCGCCTGGCAAATGAGCTGAACCAGTTCTACTGCCGCTTTGAGAGTAAATCGGACACCATCCCCCGTGACTCCTCCGCTCAGCTTCAGCCTCAGTCCATCACTTCTTCCCCTCCCTCCTCAGAGCTGGCCAGCTCCACCCCCTCCCCTCCTCTCTCCATCACAGAGAGGGAAGTCAACAGTCTTTTCAGGAGGCAGAAACCCCGCAAAGCAGCCATACTCTGTCTCCCCATCCACCCTGAAGCACTGTGCTGATCAGCTGTCTCCGGTGTTCACAGAC